ATGGCACTTGATAGGAATATGTGGAGGTCGAGTATTAAGGTTGTAGGCTAGGAGGTAGCTGAGCATTGTCTTATGTCATAGCTTTGGGGGACTAGTTTGGTAAGGATACTATTTTGCTTTTGCTTGGTATCATTCCTCTTGATTTCATATTGTTCTTATTTTTCATATATATATATATATATGTATTTCTTTCAAATTGTTTCTGTGGTGTTACTAATATTGTTTTCTTTTGTCCTTTTGTCTTATTGAGCCGAGGGTCTTTCGAAAACAGCCTCTCTACTCCTTCGGGGTAGGGGTAAAGTCTGCGTACACACTACCCTCCCCAAACCCCACTAGTGGGATTACACTGGGTTGTTGTTGTTGTTGTTGTAATGTCTTATACTAAATTTGACAAAAGAAGCAGAATTTAACAGTATATTGAGGGAAATGCATAGAGAACTCTTACTAGTTATTAATTACACGATCGCCTTCATCTGAGCTTTTTCAGCCTTCGCTTTTGTTGCATTCTTGTTTTTTTTTTTTTTTTTTTTTTTTTTTTTTTTTTTTTTTTTTTTTTTTTTTTTTTTTTTTTTTTTTTTTTTTTTTTTTTTTTTTTTTTTTTTTTTTTTTTTGTAAAAATGGGCCAAACTAGGCTTTCAATGCAGATATATGCCTCATAAATGACACCACGATTGGTAACCTCTGGATATCTGATCGAGCTATCCATTGGATTGTATATCATGAAAGTTGATCCAAACCCAAACAAAATTTCACCTTTATTTGACATACAAAAGGGAGGACAAAATGCATACTCCACTGGATCATAACGGTAAGCATCTTTGTCCAAGATTCTTTAACCCTGTATTCCTTCATAACTCACATATCAGCGCGAGTTTTTGGAACATTACAAAACAAAGAAAGATCACTTCCCAACACTCCCATACATAACCAAATATCAAAATCTCCTTTTCCAAAGCAGGGTTGCTTCATTTTTCCCCATTTCTCATCAGCCAAATCAATATAAACGATGTCGGAACGAGTAAGAGAAGTTCAATGAAGCTTTCCATTCAAAACAACACCCCACATACTGGGTCGCTCCCCGCTCCAACGTTCACGAATATTTCTCCAAGAATCACTTTTTAGACTATATATTCTAACCCAAACATGATCCAAACTGTCATAACTCAAACGATGGGAAATAACTACCTTATAATCATCATGAAACTCATCATATCCAAAACCATACATAATATAGTCTCCACCTCTTGGATCAGGCAACTTCTTGAACTTCCTAATTGATGGATTCCAGAGAAGGAAATACTTTTCCTCAATAACAAGACAAACTAACCCATTAACAGAACCCACAATACGAACATATCCACGGGGTTTTTTCACAGGATAACCTCAGTCAAATGCCTCAGTAACAGAATCATAAAGTAAAGAACTAAGGGAAAAGTTCTTAAGCTTGAAATCAGGTGGACATGATTTCAAGATAACACTATGTTGAGTATATTCCTTACTATTAGCAGCTATACCGAGATGGGTGTAAGCAAATTCAGGGCTAGAGATTAAAGAAAGCCAATATTTTGATACACACCTGAATCGTAGGAGAGATTTCACTGGTAGCCTTGAGAGTATTTCAGTGATGAGTTCAATAGGGATTTCAAAGCTCGATTCTTCCATTGAAATGGAAGAAACTTGAGCTTCAAATTCCATTTAAGCTCAAATTCCTACAAATTTGAGCTGTTTCAGAAAGACTTACCAGGTTTAGGTTTTGATGTTACCACTTTTTCATTTACTTAAAAGAACTGTTAACGACGTCGTTTAGTATTATTGCTTTAAGGTAGTGGGGATTTATAATATGTAGAACTTTACACAATGTTAGTACTTAATAAACTAATTAACACAAGATATATGACTTTCATACTCACATTTATCACTTATTCGCAGTTAAGAGATATGTATTCAGATTTTAATTTTTAGCTACTAGAGTTAAATTAATTGGTTAAATAACATTGAGTGTTAATAAACTTTTATTGTTATAACCTATGTAAAAGTGTTGCATGATTGCTCGGGTTGTGTTTGATACGAAGGAAAATATTTTCTTTAAAAAATATTTTTTTATTTATTTTTTCGATGTTTGATTAGATAGCAAAAAATATTTTTGAAAAATATATAATTCATACAAACAATATATAAGACGAAAATAGGTANGTGTTGGGAATAGGGTGAGAAAGAATGTAAAATATTTTTGAAAAATATTTTTTCTCCTTTTGGTAGGCTTTTGGTAGGAAAGTCATTCTCCTCCGGTTGGAGGAAAATAAGCCCACGCCTTTCGTATGGGCCCAGACCCACAGATTCAGACCGTTTAAAATTTTTCTAGGATATCAGAAAAGACCTAAGGAACAATAGTCATCGCTCCGCCATGACTGTTACTCATTTTTTGACGTTTTAGGGCTATAAAACTAGAATTCCGCTTAATTCCTAGATTTTCGTGTGCTATATCCTGCCTTCCGCATAAGCTGAGGCCCGCGGACCGCCTAAAATTTTCTCGGGCCGTAAAAAATGCAGTAACTTCTAGCAAATTAAAGGGGAAATACCACAATGCTTGCATTATTGGAAACATAAAATACAACCATGATCAAAATATAATTTTTATATATAAGAAGGTAAGTTTGCTAAAACAAATCAATATTATTGGCAGTCCATTTTTTCTTCTAATACACTTTTACAAACAAAAGAGCTACTGCTCATAACCAATCACGGTATTTTTGGTAAATAATTTGACCACTATTTGCATCTTCATAACCTATATAGATACCATCAGCCAACACATTATATATGCATCTTTTAGTACCTTCTGGAATAAAATTACTTTCATCCTTTACGCAATAATCTACATTGTTAAATACATCGAATACAGTATTTCTATTACCCCACCAAAAGTGACAAAAGTATAAAGTATTATGATACGAGCAAAATTCCCATCTAAAATCTGTTCTCAGGCCAGGGTAATTGTACCCAAAATCATCGTCTCCGGATGCACAATGAAGTTCTAGTTGAGGAGTATTTTCCGGAAGATTATTGAGAATGTGTACCTGGCGAGCTATATCAGCAAAATTGCAATGATAACCTCCCTGGATGTTATAAGGCATGATGATAAATAATAAGAATATAATCTTCACTAAGGAGTGAACCATCTTGAGAAAATAATTTGGATGATTTTGAATTATAAAATTTCTTTGCTTCCTCCCAAGTGTTATTGATGGTGTGTGTGTATATATATATAGAAAGCAAAACAATCAGAAGGAAAAACAATTAACTTTTTGTCATAATTAATCTTATTACCACAAAAGATTTGGTCATTTATTTAGTTTATTTAGGAAGATCCCCTTGAAGGTAATTATAAATATGAATGGGATATCCTTATAGAATATTTGTTAATGAACAATGGATATTTTACCAAATATTTTCTGCATAAGATGATAATAAAATCAACCAAATTAAGTAAAACATTTATTAATTTAATTGAAGTGGGAGGTTATTTAACATATTACTCTTCGTCGCTATATCTTTAGAACTTCATAAAATGAGATGCTCAAGATCGCTTAGGAAAGCTATTTAGCAGATGAAAATTATTTTGATCCCTCAAGTTTGTCTTAAAAATCAACTCCTCCTCCAACATTAAACAATAGACATTCCGTTTCTCGTGTTACATGCATTGTCTATATTACCCTTGATATTTTTAATTCCTCCTCTATGCTTATAATTTTTATATTATATTCAAATTGGTAAACACTTAGCTAAATATCTTATTCTAAATTTTAGAATTAAAGCTCAATAAAATTTAACTAGATAGTACTTTGATGAATTTGTAACAAAATTTGTCGTACTCTTTTTTTATTTTTACTTTAGTATTAAGTATATATTTAAGTTTTACTTTCTCTTTTATTCTTTATGTTCAAATTCTATATTTGGAAAAAACCTCTTGCGAAAATGCATGATAAGGCTGCGTACGATATACGTTGTGATCCGGCCCTTTCTCGGATCCTGTGCATAGCGGGAGCTTAGTGCACTAGGCTTCCCTTTATTAACGAAATATTTCCTAAATTGTAATTTAAAGAGCTTCTAAGGTATAAATATGTAATCTTTTAAGAATTTATTATAAAATCCAACTCTAGTTTTAATTATTTTTTTATATTACTGCACTAACTTTTGGTTGATTTTATTAATAAGATCTTTTATTCTAATATTTTAATTGCCCGTTTATTTTACTGTCACGATCCAAAATCCCACTACAGGTGTCGTGATGGCACTTAGTCTCTAAGACTAAGTAAGCCGATCATTATAATAATTCAAGCCATTTTATTTTCACAACATAGAATCTAATACAAGTGTTAAAACTAACAGCAAAAATAATCACACAACCTCCCAAGACTGGTAATATTGAGTCACGAACTCTAACTGAATACATGAATGATCTGAAGGAAATTAAATATATATTACTGCTCAAATAATAAGTGATAGTACGATAAAAGGGAAAAGACTCCAAGGGACTGCGACGACCAAGCAGCTCTACCTTGAATCCTTACGATCATGCTCTAACTCTGTCCGAGTCCGATATCTCTAATACCTGAATCTGTACAAAAATGTACATAAGTGTAGTATGAGTACACCAGTAAGTATCAAGACTAACCCCGATGGAATAGTGACGAGGTGTAAAGACACTCACTAGTCTAATAACTTGTGCAGTATAGCATATAATAATAATAAAAAACAATAACAATGATGGCAACAACAATCAACTAGTAATATAAACAACAGCCAACATCAATACCATAAATATTGCTCAACAAATAACGAATACAAGTACAATCAATTAATCCAGTCCTCCAAATATAAATCCTCCACCTATAAGTTTTTCAAATAATAATATTTAAAATATAATCCTTTCCATGATAGGTTTCAAATATACTTCCTTCAAGTAACCATCTTTCAAATACAATTCTTCCAAATAAATACCTTTCGAATATAATTCTTTCAAACGATATCTGCCGAATATAATTCTTTCAAGCAAATATCTTCCGAATATAATTCTTTCAAATAATATTTTTCGAATATAATTCTTTCAAATAAAAGTCACCATGTGACACCACATTTTATAATTATAAAATACGGGTCTCAGTCCATTTTCATATCTCTACGGCACCCGTGCCAATATTTCTATCACAACCGCACGGACAACTCACGTGCCAATATCATCATCATTACTCACGACACCTCGTGCCCATATTTCATATCATAACTGTATGGACAATTCACGTACCAATAATAAATTCATCATTTATCCCCGGCACCTCTTGCCCATATCATAATCCACCCGACATTATCCACAGGCTCATAACTTCAACATATATCCAACTATTATCAAATTTACTGTATTTATAAAATAAATTGCACAATATATAAAAGAAATCACCAAGAAATTACAACATCACATAAAAATCACCAACACAATATCCTCACATCACCACATATCATCCCTGACAATAGCCACCCTTATCTCTCCTATAGTTACCCTTATCGCTCCTATAATGGCCACCCTTACCGCTCCTATATTAGCCTCCCTTATCGCTCCGTTTAATAGCCACCCTTATCGCTACGCCCAGATAATTGTCACGACCCCAAATACCCCGGTCATAATAGTGCCTATCACAGTACTAGGTAACCCAACCCAACAAGTAACCACAGTGAATTCTTTTTATAAAACCTCTTTCTAAAACTGATTAAGTCTCGAATTCTCATATGAGATATATAAATCAACTGAAATGTACGGAAAACAGAACAAAATATACCAACACAGCCCAACAATCTAGTATCACAAATCAAGAGCCTCTAGATACAACCCAAACTGACTGAATAATACATCATAAGTCTAAAATAGTAGGAAACTGAGATAGGAAGGAGGAAAGCAGGGTTGCGAATGTCGTGCAGCTACCTTGTAGTCTCCGGTAAAGCTCTGAGAGTGCTAGGAACCCTCACTCTGCTGCTCCGGCACCTGGATCTGCACACAAGGTACATGGAGTAACGTGAGTATGTCAACTCAGTAAGTAACTAAAGTAAATAAGGTCTGAGTGCAATGACGAGAAGTTAAAAATCATATATAAGAGTGTTCAACAGAATATCAAGTCAAACTCAATAGTTTAATAGCTAGTAACTTCATCAAAACTTCAGTTTCAATTGAAATACTTTGAAATCATTTATTCAACATTTTTCAACAGAGGCTCAGTATAAAAGAAGAGTGAAAATATCAAAATGTCATAAACGTGCCCCTCGGGAAAGGTATCACTCATAAGTATAGCCTCTCGGTCACTCGTGACTCAGCTCTCGTCGATAGTACTCACACTCAACACTTCGTCTCAATAATATCTCATAATAGTAATAATCATAAAAACCGCAGCGGCGTGCAACTCGATCCATAGTTTAAAGTCGACTACGCTCATTGGGGGTGTACAGACTCCGGAGGGGCTCCTACAACCCAAGCGTCATATCGCTCCGGCGCGCAGCCCGATCCAATATATATATATATATCGCTGCGGCGTGCAACCCGATCCATATAAGTATCGTTGCGGCGTGCAGCCCGATCCATAATATGTATATATATATCATCACCATTAGGGTACTCACCCTCTCTTAGTCATTAACCTCACAGCCAC